CCAGACCGGAGTAAAGCCCAGCTGGCGGCGTCGGGAATGCTGTCTCTGTCTGCTTTCAAAGCGACGGCTCAGCTAAGCTGCCTCGCCCCGCTCCATTTCCGGCTAATCGGCTTCGACGGCTTCCGACTCGTCCCCAACGCGCGCCAACGCTCTTTGCTCCGAGCCGATTTCGACGCCCAAGATCAGCCGGACCTTCGGGGCCGGATTCTGCTCAACTGATTTGTAAGCATGACTAACTCCAGGTGGAGGTTCGAGAAGAGTGTGGCAGCGCCTGCCTGGGTCTGGACCCTGTTCACGCCCATGCTCCAACCGCTTCTTCCACTCCATCACCATCCAGGCGCACAGCCATGGCCTGCTACGCACGAGGCTGCGCTGCGGCGCGACCGGCGTCTCGCCCGCTGCGCACATTTGCCAGCGCGCGCGCCTCCTCCTCCTCCTCGACCCCTGTCCAACGCAGGCAGCTGCATCCCATCCGGCTATCGACCTACTTCCAGCCCACGCACAAGGCCTCGTCCAGCGCCTCGGGGGACGACGCACTCGCCTCGCTGCAGCTGCTCCTCCGCGGTGGCTACATCCGCTCCTCCTCCTCGGGCGTGTTCACCTTACTCCCGAATGCGCTGCGCATCGTGCGCAAGCTCACGGCGATCATCGATGACGAGCTGCACGCCATCGGCGCATCGCGTCTCGCCATGCCCACGCTCCTCCCCGCCAAGCTGTGGCGCCAAACGGGCCGGTACGAAATCATGGGCAGCGAGCTGTACAAACTCCGCGACCGTCGTGATGCCGAGTACGTGCTGGGTCCGACGCACGAGGAGGAAGTCACGCGGCTGGTGGCGGGCCACGTGGAGAGCGACCGGCAGCTGCCCGTGCGCGTCTACCAAGTCACACGCAAGTTCCGCGACGAGCCACGCCCGCGCATGGGCCTGCTGCGCACCAAGGAGTTCCTCATGAAAGACCTCTACTCGTTCGACAAGAGTGCTGCGGATGCTGCGCGCGCCTACGACGACGTGACGGCCGCGTATACATGCATCTTTGACCGCATCTTCACCGGTGCCGACGGACGCAGGTGGGTGGCGGCCGAGGCGGATACCGGCGCGATCGGCGGCAACAAGTCGCACGAGTACCACGTGCAAGATGCCGCGGGCGAGGATAGGTTGATCACATGCAGCAAGTGCGGCTATGCGGCCAACACTGAAAAGGCGGTGTCTATGCCTGATCCGCAACACATGCCCATCAGCGCCTCGGACGTGCGTGTGCTGCTGTACGCATGTCCGGACCTCGATGTGCACGATACACCCATGCACGCACTCGTGCTCCCCGCCACGCGCGAGCTCAACGCGGTCAAAGCGGCCAAGCTCTCGTCCTCGCTCGCACCGGCAACGCAGCTGCTGTACGACTCTGCCTCGCCCCAACCGGCACAGTGGGACTGGAAGGACCGTCCCGAAGGCCCGCTTCTCCGATACAGCACACTCGCCGTCCTGGCCGATTTCGAATGCGCATCGCTCGACCCCGCCGAACTCAACGATGCCCTCGCCACCGCCCTGTCCACCTACACCTCTCCCTCTGCCTCGTCACCCCCTGCTTCCCTTGCGGAGCTGTTTCCCGCGCAGTTCGGTGGGGACACTCCTGTGGCTCCTGCACTTACGCTCGTGGATGTGCGCACGGCGCAGCAAGACGACACGTGTTCGAGCTGCAAGAGCATCGCTTCGCTGCAAGAGACGCGCGCGATCGAGGTGGGGCATACCTTCTTTCTCGGCGACCGGTACAGTCGCGCACTCGAAGCCGGCTTCCTCCCGACCGCCGCTACGAAAGCCGCTGCTGGCGGTGTCATGTCGAATGGGAGGGTGCCGTTCCAGATGGGCTGCTATGGCATTGGCGTATCGCGCATCCTGGGCGCCCTGGCTCAAAAAGCCGCCTCGGACTTTACCCGCGCCACGTCGAAAGCGGGCTTGCTCTGGCCGCGCCAAGCCTCGCCGTTCACTGCTGCGATCCTGGTTGCCGACGTGCGCGATTCGAACAAACTCGAGGCAGCTACTCGGGTGTACGATGCTCTCGTCTCCAAGGCGCGCACGCAGGATCTCTCCATCCACGCCGTTCTAGCGCGCATCCTAGGTGGCAACGCTCAAGACGATCTCGGTTGGTCGAGCGACGAGGCGCACGAGGTGGTGATCGACGACCGCCGCGCCCAGCTGGGTGCCAAACTCGCCGATGCCGATCTGACCGGCTACACGTACCGCCTCATCATCGGTCGCCACTTGCACTCGCACTCACCGCACATCGAGGTGCAACATCTCACCCCCACCGGTCTCGACTCTGTCCTCGTTCCGCTCGAAACATTGTGCAATTGAAAAACAAAAACGGGGGCGCTCTAGTCAAACGTGACCTTGGTGCCTGTGCTTTGTACAATGCCCACACTGGCACGCGGGGCGTTGGCCAGTGCCGCACCCGGTTTGGCCCTCCTCTGCGGGCCCGCCCTCCTGGCCGCTCGCTCTTGTTGGGTTTCCTTGTGCTTCTTGGGCAGTGGAGCGTCTGGATCGAACGATCCGGGTGCAGGCGCCTCGTGTTGCTGTTCGGGCTGAGAGTCGTCGTGGTCGCGCGGACGCTTGCGCATGAAGCCCACCTTTTTGTTCTCGCGCGGAGCATCCAGGCGTGTCTTCTGGGTCTTGGACGCCCCACGCCGCGTCGCATCCGCCCCGGCGTACTGAAGCAACAGCTTACGGCCGTCGAGGAACGTGTTGCGCGGATCGATGAGCGAGGCGGTCGCCTGGTCGAGCGTGTGGAAGTCGACGAATCCGAACCCCTTGCACTTGGTCGGCGCGTCCTCAAACGTGCCCAGTCGCACCTTGCGGATGCCCGCCGCCGACGGAACCACGTCGCCCGAAGACCCGCTCTTCACACCCTCCTTCGTCTCGTCCTTGACAGCCGCTCCCGACTCGGAGTCAGAGTCAGAGTCAGCGTCAGACGACTCGGACGAGTCGGAATCCGAGTCCGATTCGTCCGACTCGGAATCGGACGAAGACGAAGACGAAGACGAGGCCTTCGTGGGCTTCCGTTCTTTCTTCTGCTTCTTGTTCTTGGCGGTGCGCGGGTTGCGCCTCTGCGCCGACGCATCAAACAGCTCCCTCACCCCCTGCTCGGTGGTATTGAAGCTCAGATTGCCCAGGAACAGCGTCATGCTCGGCGCATTCTTCTGGGCCCTGAGGATCTTCTGCGCGGTCTTGGTCAGCCCGGTCTTCCCCTTGACCTGTCTCTCCTCCTTGTCCTCCCTCTCCTCGTCGTCGTCGTCCTTTGCGGTGTGCATCGAGGTGGTGGCGCTGGGGAGGTTGCGCGCAATACCCAGCGCGCTCGTATTGATATCCGGCCTACCCGTGTAATCGGACCCGTCCTTGATCAGCAGCTTCCTGCCATCGAGCGGCTGTTCGGACAGATTGAGTGCGGCGGTGAGCACGTCCTTGGACGGCAGGTCGAGGTAGCAGAATCCGCGGTTCATCTCGGCCCTTCTTGCGCCCTTGGGCATGTTGACACGCGAGATGCCGTCTACACCGCGCTGCTCGAACCAGTCCACCAGCTTGGCAGGTGCGGTGAAGAAGGACAGGTTGCCCACCCAGATGCTGAACCCGCTGCGGGGCTGTGCGGCTGCCGACGAGCCCTGCGCCCGCGTCGGGTGCATGAGCGAATTCGGCCCCGCCGCCTCCTCACCCTCACCATCCGCTTGCTTGGCGAGCTTCTTGCGTCGACGCTGCTCCTTGTGCGACAGCACCTCTACCTCCTCGTCGCCCTCTGCACCTTGCTCTGCCTGCGCACCTTCTGCGCCCTCTGCGCCGGCGTCGGGCGCTTTGCGCTTGGCGGGCGAATCCGTCTTGCTCGCCAACGCCTGTTCCTTGGCAGCACGCTTCTGCGCCACCGCCAGCTGGCGCTTCTCCTTGTTCGTGAGCGGTCGCTCCGTGTCCGCTGCCGCTACTGCGGGCGCTGCTTCGTTCGACGACATGTTGGGAAACGGTGTGGATGATGAGCAGCAGGAAGCAAGGGCCGTCAGAGAGGCAGCGCTAAAAGACCCTGGAAAATGCGCAGAAGCCGCCCAAATTTTTCGACAAAGACGCCGCCGTCGGAATTCGGCCCTGCGAAAAAAAAAGAAGTTCACTTTGTTAGATCTGTGCCTCAACGGTCAGGGTCACGTTGGCGGTCGTCGTCTCATCGTCCGCCCGGAACACGCAGACAGCCTGGCGTAGGCAGAAGCCGTTGTCCTATCTCGGCCTTCAGAGCGGATCTCCTGGCTCGGTCCTTTCGCTCGCACACACACAGAGGGATTCCTAGTAAAGAGAGGAGCGAAGCTGGACATTACAGCACCAAGGCGCGCAATCACCACCAGTGCCGAGGGCCGAGGGCGCGGATCAAGCCTCGACAAAGTTGCGCACGTGCGAGAGCCAATCGCAGTACTCGCGCTGCTCCTTGTACTCTGCGTAGTTGGGGATGAAGAGCGCCAGGTTGGCGTCGATGCCCCTTTCGCCGAGGAACTGCTCGAACTGGTTCTGCAGATTCTCGTCGAGCGTGTCGAACTGGGGGCCGAGGTAGGTGCCGCGCCTTGCAAAGTCGGCCTCGGCATCGATGGTGGTGGCGAGTTTCTGGTCCTTGTAGAAGGCGATGTTGTCGGTGTTGACCTCTCCGTCCACGACGAATGCGTCGATCATGAGTGCGCCGCCGGAGGGTTTGGTGATGGTGACCGAGATGCGCACGGGGAACTGCGGACCCTCCTCGTCGTCCTCGGCCTCGATGGGTGCGGCCTCTTCGCCCTCCATCGCGGGTTGCTCCGAGGTGTCGATGTCGCCCACGCTAAACACCACCGAGATGTGCTCGTTGCCAAACTCGCGCGACAGCGTCACCTCGTCCAGACCGGGCTCGTCGGTGATCTTCCACACGCCCGCCTGCTTGAACTCGGTCACGAAGCCGGGCTCGTTGGTCGGCGAGTCGCCCACGAAGAGGTTCGAGTTTTCCTGCTCGTACTCGAGCTCCTGCGCCAGCTTGGCGCTCAGCTCCGCGTCCGACTCGCCCTGACCGCGGACGAGCGGCGTCAGGCTGAACGCACGCACGGGCGCCACGGCCACGCGCGAAACCGCAAGCGCAGGTCGAACAGCCGCAGCACGCACAAGCGGTGCACGCGAAGCTGCCCGCACCATGGATCGTGTGAGTGTAGATGCGATCATCTTGATGCGTGTCGTGAACAGTGATGGTGGCTGGGTCCAAAGTAACAGCCCGCGATCGAGCCACTTCCATAAAGGACAAAAAAAAAGTCAATTTTAAGCCAAGCACAAGAGAGAGAGAGAGAAGTGGAGCAAACGTGCTCAGGTTTTTCGCTCCTCCCCTTTGTCTCTATCAAAGGACAGCGCCAACATGTCTCGCTGGACCCCCTTTGTCCTCCAGCGACGAACTTGCTTTGTCCGGGCCCGCACACACGCCACACACCCTGTCAATCAGAGAAATGCACATTCGACCGAATGCTGCCTCCTACATAGTCTCGTCCTCGAGCACCACGCTGCTGGCCGCCGTTGTGTCGGCCATGCTTTTATCCGCCCTCGCCTTCTTCTTCTTGCTGCTGAAGCCGAGCGTGGTCTGGACGGTGCCCGTCTTGGCCCACCTGCTGAGCTCCATCTGGTCCGTCAGCTCCCTCGGCATCAACCTGTGTGCCAGTGAGCTCGCGTCGTGTCTCTGCGTCACGCGGCCCTGTCTCTTGAGCACGCCCACCACATCCGCCTCGTTGATCGACATGCCCTCGCCCGCCCGTCGGCTCGTCCTCGCCTTGGCCTGCTGCATGAGGTTCGCCGCAAAGTCGGCGAAAAAGTCGTGCGCCGCCGCATCCAGCTCGTCCAACACCGTCGCGTCCAGCTTGGCCTTCTTGGCCGGTGCCGAGCCCGAGCTGCTCAGCAGCGAGGCCGATGACGACGCCGCCGGCGTCAGGAACGACGCAAACATGTCGCGCATGATCGACGCCGGCAGCGGCGGAACGGCGTTGCCCGTGTGCGGCGACTTGCGCGCCCGCCGCTTCTTGACGATGCGCCGCTTGA